TCGAGCCCACTCATGAGGGGGTACCACTTGTCGTTATTGATTGAGGCTCGTATCTTCTAGTCACTGRGATGTATTATGACATTATTATGATTTATCAGTGACTGSAGCCCTTCCTATGGCTGCTTCCTGCATTCTCTGTGTACGACACTTCAGTCTCGTGTCTCTGGTCATGCTCTTGCAGAGTCTGGTTTCTGGTCTTTTCGCCCTCTCAGTGTCATTTGATTTATGATGCATGTCCTGTAATGCATGGAATGTTTATGCATGAGGTAACAAGTTATTTATCACTCCTTATCATAACAAGTTACACTCAAGGCTACTTGAAGGACTCCTGGATAATAGGGACTCCGGTGACCTTGAGTCTAACCTTTATACGGGCTCAGGTGCAGGCGATAAAACCGAACGCCTCACTCTAAGCCGTGTCGCCGCTGGCAGGAGGGATAACCCTGACAACTCGACTCTGTGACAAAGGCTGCTTGCGAATACACTTCTAATTTCCCTAAAACTTTCCAAAATCCTGCGTGACAGCCTGCCAGTCCACCAACCCACTGTACTCGGCCCGGGGAGAGACATCCAGCTAGACCCTGGTAACGGTGGCGGCGCGACACCGTACCGTACCGGGAGCCGGTATATGTACCGGTGACACGTATGGTACCAGCGACATTTCTGCAAAGGCCCCGAAGGCAGAACTGAAAAATGCGGTATGTAATGACCCGCCAAAATCACAAACTGAGTACACTGCTGATTTCTGGGATTTGCCGCTGGAATGAATGCCTTGTTGAAATTCCCGCGTTCTGCTGTGATTTCCATGTCTATGTGTGTGCGTGCCTGCTGGTTTGCATGCCTGTCTGAGTGCTTGTCGGTTGAGTGTGTGTATAACCCGCAAGGGTATTTGTTGGTTGAAGGGCCTCGAGGGGCCGGTACTTACCTGTGGCTGTGACTTTGAGGGTTGCAAGGGGGAAAACACTCAAGTGGCGGGGGTAGGCCCGCAACACTTAGAACAGCAGGGAAAAACACTTAGAACAAAGGGGAAAACACTCAAGTGGCGGGGGTAGGCCCGTGACACTTAGAACAGCGGGTACCACTCAAGTAGTGGTAGGAGTGTCAGGTACTGGAGGCCGAGCAGAAGAAGACAAAAAGTTGGCATTTTCAGAGGCGCAGTAGCGGTAGGATAGCAGTAGGCCGGTACCAGTCCAAGTAGGCCAGGTCTAGGGCCTGTACGGAGGATAGCAGAGCCTGCAATGATGTTTTCCTCCGAAAGGGAGGAGGTACCGGTTGCTGGGAGGCCGCTCGGCCTAAGAAGTCACCGCCCAGGAGGCCGGTAGGCCGCTATATCTCCAGGAAGAGCAAAGAGCTCTTCCTCATTTGCGGTGTGCAAGGATTGGCGACATGCTGCTGGAGCGCAGCGCTGGACTGGTACAGCGCTGCTTGGASGTGAAGGGCAGYTKGAGCTCMGCCTGGCTATGGCRAGCAGTCCAGYTTGAGGARGAGGAAGAAGGGGGSRAAGGAGGAGAGTGGCGAGGCACTTACCTGGCTATGGTAGACACCATCTTCATCACCTTGTTGGGCGCTGCATCTGGAAGGCCCCAGTTGGGGTAGTGCAGCACCGAGGAAGCTCGAGGCAGAGTCGGGCATGGCGGACCAGTCAGCAGCGGCATAGCTGCTTTGGGTTGTCCTTTGGACATCAGCGCACCACCATAGCTGCTTTGGGTTGTCCTTTGGACGTCAGGGCAAGGCCCTCATTAGTCCGCCATAGCCTATGCATGAGAGAGGAGGCTGAAGGAGGGAAGCCATAGCTATGGTGGACTGGTTGTTGTTGTTGTTGTTGTTGTTGTTGTTGAGTTGAGTCAGCAGTAAGAGGGAACTTCGGATATTGATTCTGGTTCATCCATTCATTGTTATTATTATTATTGAGAGAAGAATAAGATTGGTGAAGTGAAGGAGGAGGAGGAAGGTAGAGAGAGAAGGGGGTCTTGCTGGTGTACTTCTTCTTCTTCTTCTTCTTTCTCTCTCCTCTGGTCTCTATCTCTTTGCAAGTGCTTTCATTTCTTTCACAATTGGGTGGCATTGTCTTTCATTGTGAATTTGCACTTTGGAAATGACCAGGATCGTAATAGGTATTTAAAAGCGGTGCCCGAATTGCAGCATGGCGCCAGTTGTCCAAAATCCTACGGTACCAAAGGAGGGGTTTGGAAAAAGGGTTCCAGGCCGAAAACGGGATGCAGCCGAAACAGCAAAAAGATAGACCAGGGATCGAGCCCTGGCGGAGTCCGTAACACTATCCCGTCCCTCTAGAAGGCAACGTCCCGGCTGCCAAAAATCATGAAGCAATGCCGAAATCTGTGAAGGACGGGACGGGGCGGATCACAGGTTAACAAGTTGAAAGGGAAGAGGGGTATAATGTGGGTGGCATGGGCTGCGGGAGTACGAGAGAACAGGGTTTGGTACTGGTGAACAGAGTTGTCCTGCTGATGAACTAGGGGGGGTTGCAGGGAACCAGGTAGTCCTACAAACGAACTAAAGGGACGGCAGGGAGCAGGGTAGTCCTACTGATGAACTAAGGGGACCGCATGGTTTGCTATAGGTTAAGGGGGAAGAGAGTTCAGGGAACAGGGAACTTCTATTGATGTTCTAATGGGTAAGGGAAACGGTGTTCAGGAAAACAAGGTATTTCTATTAATGTTGTAGTGGGTAAGAGAAACAATGGTCAGGGGAACAGGGGATGTCTATTGATGTTCTAGTGGGTACGGGGAACAATGGTTAGGGAAACAGGGATCTGCTAATGATGTTCTACAGGGTTGTCAAGTCAGGAAAAATAAAAATGAAAATGTTTGTTCAGGATGCAAGGGCTGGTGTGTCCGAAGGAGTCTGAAGCAGAATCTCATGTAGGAACAAAGTGTCCAAGTGTCTTGAAAGGGGGTCTGCAGCGGTCTTGATCAGGTCTTTCGAGTAGGTAGTAGAAGCGGTCTTCAGCGGCTGCGATAGGTAGAAGTCCAAGAAGCGTAGTAGTAGTTCAATTGTCAAAGTCCAAGTGCTAGGGTGCGTCAGGTACACAAACTGCAATGAGGTCTGATCTGGGAAGCAAGGAAGTCACAGACTGATGCAAAGATTCATGTCACAAGTTGCTGCTCCAGTAAGTCCGCGAGTCGGGATGCCGGCCGATGAAACAGCATGGTGGCCAAACCAGCTGCATAATCTCCATAAATAGTGAGGCAGCAGGCCATCGTCCTCGTGCGCTTGCCATTAGATCCTTTATCGCCGACGTCACGCAGGTTCACAAGAATTGGACAAGTGAGACAAGGTAGTGGAGAGGACAAATGGGACAAGGCTAGGCGAGGGCAAGGGCAGATCAGACATTAGGAATGGAGGTCAAGGGGAGGGTGGACTGGGTTCAAGGGTGTGTGTAGAGCGGGGTTGCGAGGTTGTAGCAGGGTTTATGTCGTAGTTATATAGGTATCTGGGACATAGGAGTCGCACAATCATAGGCGCGAACAAGTTTCATGGCGTTCTTAAGATTAGAGAGAGGTTCCCATGTAGATTCTTCGTCGGGGTATCCGGTCCATTTGACTTTGTATTCAGTGATYSGTTCCGGTTGATCAGATACCTGAGTGGTTCGTCGGCCGATGATGGTTTCGACAACGAATTCAGGGCCTGTGAGTAGCATGATTGGTGGAGGTCTAGGATATGGGCGGTCGGCGAACTTGGGCGGGGATTCATGGCATGCTTTTAGGTACTCGACATGGAAGACTGGGTGGACAGTGGACACGACTCATGTCAGGGGGAAGTTGGAGTTTGTAGTTGACGGGGGAGGTTTGTTCAATGATGGGGAAGGGACCGAGCCATTTGTTGGAGAGTTTCTTGGACAAGCCGTGTTCAGGTTCAAAGCGTTTGGCAGAGAGCCAGACTTTGTCCCCTACTTTGAATGACACGTCGCGTCCATGTTTGTTAGTCTTGTTGGCTTGTTGTTCTTGGGTTCGTTCAAAGACTTCGGAGGCTTCTCTCAGGAGTCTGTTCATTGTTGTTACCCATTCATTGAAGGAGGGGCAAGGGGTGGATGGGTTAAGCTGCGAATGGAGCAAGAAGTCAGAGGGCAACCGAGGGCGGTAGCCAAGGTCGAGGTAGAATGAGGACATATTGGTGGAAGGGCAGACGGCGTTGTTGTAAGCAATCTCGACGACTGTGAGCAACTGATCCCAATCGTGTTGGTGTGGATGACAATACTTCCGCAGGATTCTTTGGAGTGTATCGTTCATCTTCTCTGTTTTTCCATCGGTCTGTGGGTGGAATGCAGTTCTATACTCGAGCGTGGTTCCATAGGCCGTGAAGAGGTGTTTCCAGAATTGTGAGAGGAAGCGAGGATCACGGTCACTGATGAYGTTCTCGGGGAGGCCGTGATGGCGAGCAACATGGTCGAAGAAGAGTGTGGCGACGTCTTTGGCACTGTGCGAGGTCGTGCAAGGGACGAAGTGGGCACGTTTCGTCAAGCTGCAGACAATGACGTAGATGCAATCATGCCCGCGGTCGGTCTTGGGGAGGGCGCACACGAAGTCCATGGAGATGGACTGCCATCGGTGAGTTGGGATGGGCAATGATTGGAGCTTACCAGGTTTGGCCCGGTTCGCGGGGTTGACAACTTGACACGTGGAGCATGAGCGAATGGGTGCCTTGAGGTCGACGAGCAGGGAAGGCCAATAGAAGTAGCGGGAGATGGTGTCGAAGGTTTTCTGGCAACCGACGTGTCCTGCGGTCTTGGCGTCGTGGTGCTCGGCCAAGAATTAAGTACGGAGACCACTTGCGCCGGGGATCCAAAGTCAGCAAGTGCCTTTGGTATCAATGTAGAGAACGTTGTCGTGGAGGGAGTAGTCGGGGAATGGGTCAAGATCCCGGAGCTTGTTGTAGATGGTGGTGAAGTTTGGGCAAGAGGCTGTATCGGTGATGGGGTGATGGGAGGAGTTGGATATGAGTCATGGCAGCGTAGACTTTCTCCGCGGGCTTGTGGTCGGGTCGTCAAGAGAGGGCATCCACAACGCGGTAGCTTTTGCTGGGGGTATGGCAAATGGTGAATGTCAACTGGGCAAGGAAGTCTAGCCAGCGGGCTTGGCATGAGTGATATCTTTCTTGGAGAGGATGGAGGCGACGATGGTGTTGTCAGTGCAGATGGTGAAGTATTGCCCGTCGAGGTACAGCCGCCAGACTGTGAGCGCGTGAATCACGGCGAGGAGTTCCTTCTCGTTGGAGGGGTAATTCATCTCCGCGGGAAGGAGTTTCTTGCTTGCGAAGGCGATGGGGTATTCGCCAGGTGCAGCTTCGGGGTGAGTGGGCGAGTCCTTGATGGAGGGGGTCTCAGCGGTGTCACGGAGGAAATGTTGGGACATTACGGCTCCGATGGCGAAGTCGGAGGCGTCAGTGGTGACATAGAAATGGCGAGTGGGGTCAGCGATCTTGAGGACAGGGGCCGTGGTGATGGTTTGCTTGAGTAAGTCGAAAGCGTGTTGGCGGCGATCGTTCCAATGGAAGGGCTCGTCCTTGCGGATGAGTTCGTGGAGAGGGTAAGAGATTTTGGAAAAGTTATGAATGAACAGGCGGTAATAGTTCGCAAGGCCGAGGAAGGAACGGAGTTGGAGGAGGGTCTTGGGTGGGGGGTACTCGACGAGGGTTGTGACCTTCGAGGGGTCCATACGGATGCCTTCAGCAGAGACAATGTGGCCGAGGTATTCGACGCTCAAAGCGGCAAACGTACATTTGCTGAGCTTGACGTATAATTTTTGCTCTCAGAGGATCGAGAGAACTTGGCGGAGGTGTTGAAGGTGGGACTCAAAGGTGGGGCTGAAGACAAGGATGTCATAAAGGTAGACGACGACACAAACTTCGAGGAGGTTCTGGAAGATGTGGTTCATGGTAGATTGGAAGGTTGCGGGGGCAATGGTGAGTCCGAATGGCATCACGAGGAACTCGTAGTGCCCGAACCGAGAGCGGAAGGCGGTCTTGTGGGTGTCCTCCTCGCGGATACGGATCTGGTGGGAGCCTCTGCGAAGGTCGATCTTGGTAAAATACTTGGCTCCACGGAGAAGATCAAGGAGCTCGGAAATCCAAGGTAGAGGTTACCTGTTCTTGATCGTGATCCGGTTCAAGGCCYGGTAGTCTGTGCACATGCGGACTTCCGAAGTTCCACCTTTCTTGACAAAAAGGCAGCTGGTTCCGTAGGGGGATGAACTTGGCTTAATGAACCCTTTTTCAAGAAGCTCACTGAGTTGCTGCTTCATTTCTTCAGTTTCGGGGACAAAGAGTTGGTATGGAGGGCGGCAAGGTGAAGAATGTCCAGGTTCCAAATCGATGGTATGGGAGACGCCACGATCTGGAGGTAGTCCGGCCGGTAAGGACTTAGGAAAGACGTCCTTGAACTCGTCGAAGATTGAGGTGATGGCTAAGTTGGAGGAGGGGGCTTGATCGGGTATGTTCGTCGGGAGTAAGTCATCGGGACTTTCACGATCAAGGACAAGACGGTAGTAGGCGGAGTCGGGGTTTAGGCGAGCCATGTGGAGGAATTGGTGCGGATTGACAGAGCCTTGAGAGGTCAGATATGGGAGATAGGGGATGTCGATGGTTGTGTCGGGGGGGGTCGGTGAGGCGAAGGAAGTTGGGGTGGAATGCGTATGGCATGTAGCGGTCCATCCACGGGGTTCCTAAGACGATGTCGCACATCAAGTGCAGGACATCAAACGAGACTTGACTACGGAGGGTTCCGACGGTCATGGTGGTCTCGGGAACCATGCGGTCTACTACGACGGCGGTGTCTTTGTCCCCTAGGCGAATCGTGATAGGGGAGTCACAACCGGCAGAGGTAAGACCGGCTTTGCGGACACACGCGTCAGTGATGAAGTTACCGGTGGCTCCAATGTCGAGGAGGGCCCGGAACTTAGTTGTAGATGCACCAAGGGTGGAGGCGATGAATTTGAGGTGGAAACGAGATGAGTTGGTTGTGGAGATGATGGTGTTGAGGCAGCGTTGTTCGTTGCCTAAGCGGACAAGCCGATCATGTCGAGCTTGTTCCTCAACAACATCGGAGAAGGTGACAGTGGATGGGTTTGGAAGAAGGGTAGAGGAGCATGAGGCAGTGGGAGGCGTTTGCGACGCCTAGGAGTCATCCGGTGGAGGGAGCGTCACCAGAGAGGGGGGAGGCAGACGAATTGTCGATGCCAGATGAGCCATCGGTGGGACGAAGGACGTCGCCGATGGGTGGGCTGACAGACGCGATATCGATGCCGGGACAATGTCCTGGGAACTGTGTTCATGATGAGGAGGGAACCGCGCTTGCCGAGGGCGGTGATGTGGAGGTTGCGGGCCGAGTGGAGGCGGACTGGCGGGTGCATTGTGTGGCGTTGGGGCAGTTGGTTTGTTGGTGGCCCAATTGGCGACAACGGAAGCAACCCCCGTTTGCTTGGAGGTAGGTGCGCTCCTCGGGGGTGAGTTTCTTGAGGCGGGAGGGTGGGGTAGATGAGGGTGGACAGGAGATGCAATCTCTGCACTCCATTCTCATGAATTGGAGGACATTGAGTTTCCTCGGGAGTGAGGGATGAAGAGTCGAGTGGATCGGAAGATGCGTCGGGGTCAGGTGTGGTAAACTCGTCCAAGGAAGGGATGGAGGTGGTGTCTTCAGGGGTGATGTGATGGAAAAAGCGGGTGCGGGAGGGGGCGGGCGCGAGACGGTGATGGGGGTGGAGGAGTCGATCGTGGTGAAGCATGCGAGAGAGGAGGTCAGCAAGGGGCATGTCGGGTTCGTGGGCAAGGGCGGTTGCAAGATCTTTGTGGCATACTCGTTTGATGCGGGAGATGAATGCAAAGTCGGGAATGACGGTGGTGGGGAGGTGGTGGCGGAGGGAGCGGACATATTGGACGAAGCGGTCCGTGGGACCGGTCTGGCGGAGGTGGCAGAATTGTTCAAGGTAGTCATCAATGGTTTTCTGGGGGCGAAAGGTGGCGGTGAGAAGGTTGGCCCATTGGAGGAAGGAGTGACGTGGTCCTCCGGAGGCTCGGCGGTTGTTGACTTCAGCCATCCACCATTTGGCGGCATTGCCGAGGAGGCGGGAGGTGGCAATAGGGAGCCAGTGGGCAAGGGGCATGTGGTGGAGGTGAAAAGAGTTTTGGAGTTGGGTTAGGAAGAGGAAAACGTCCTCGTGGGGGAGGCCGGAGAAGGACATGATTTCGCCGGATCGGAAGGGCGGGGGATTTCCCCGTCGCGGAAAACGATCTGGGCGAGGGTGTTGAAGCTGAGGTTATCGGGGGTGGTGTCGTAGCAGGTGTAGTCGAGTTGGTTGTTGTCCTCCAGGAGGTCGTTGGGGGGGAGTTGTGGCATTGCGGGGTGAACCCCGGAGGTGAATTGGGAATAGGTGGACGGATGGTGGGGATGGTGGAGGTCGTCATGATGGGTTGGGGAAGGGTATGAGAGTGTGGGGGGGGAAGAGGGGTGACGTGGATGGGCAAGGAATGAGGCGGTGTGTTGGATGCGCCGGAGGGGGGGCGGGAAGGGTGGAGGAGGCAGAGGTGG